AGCAGGGAGCCCGATGCGGGACTCGATCCTGGGACTCCGGGATCATGACCTGAGCCGAAGGCAGTCGCTTAACCAACTGAGCCACCCAGGCGCCCTTAGCAGCTGTTTAAATCTGACTTTTTCTCCTTTGGGTGGGGTCTTTCATGGCTACTTTGGAGACCTCGTCTCTGGATCTCGATCCCCTGCATTTCCCTGATATATGACCTCCACGTAGAGAACGTCCCCCAATCCTTCCCCCCACCTTTTTTTTAAAGATTTTATTTATTTATTTCAGAAAGACATCCAGAGAGCGCACAAGCAGGGGGAGGGGCGGAGGGAGAGGGAGCCCACAGCGGTCCATCCCAGGACGCTGGGATCACAACCCTGAGCCACCCACGCACCCCTCAGTCACTCCCTTTTCAACTGTATTTGTGATTCTGACTTCTTCCCACTGTCTCTCCCAAACTTGGAGGGAGACCAAGGAGACCTTCGAGGCATCCCAGTGGCATCCTTGAAGACCCATCCCCTTAGTAAATTTGAGGTGTAAGGCATTTTCCACTCGGAAACTCAGTAGCTTTTCCATCCTCTCCCAAGAGGGCCCCTCTCAATTCCAAACCTCCCCCCACGAGGCGCAATCATGTTAGTAAACCTTCTCTAAGCGTGAATAGCCAGCCTTCACCTGTTTGTGGCCTTTGGGTCACACGACGTGGAGTCAGAGGGACAGAGAGCACGTCAACAAATCACACACCACAGCCAAAGAAGTGAACACAGCTTCAATTTTAATGGTGCCCTCAGGGGAAGGATCTGTTGATCCACACCATTTTCTTGGATTTTTCACAGTCCCCCAGGATCGTGGGTGAGTAGGTCACGTGGCTTTTTGGCAAAGGCCACTTCCACCCCGGTGTCTTCTGTGTCAGTGTCCACAGCCACTCCCTCAGATCCTCATCATTTCTGTGTTTCCCCAGTTGCCTCCCCAGTAAAAAGCTCAGCACGTTTTGAGAGGCCAACGTGGGTTTTAGGTATTCGTCTGCCTTCTTCCTGATGTTTGGGTCGGGCGTGCCGGGACCCACTTCAGAGTGTCCTTCCTCCATGCCTGGTTGACACCACAGATGGCACCAGGAAGAAGCACACCTGAAAAAAAAAAAAACCAACCTGTAAAAGTTGATGGAATCTAGAATTACTTATAGGAGAAATAACAGGTGCCCCAGAAGTCCCTCTGCACATCCATCTACTTGCACATGCGTGTGCACATGAACACACACACCCCAACTTAGTCATAAGATTACTGCCTTGAGGTGGTGTCTGCTATGAAATGCCAGCTTTATCGCTTATTTGATCCCCACATATATATGAAGATATTTCTAGAATCTCTATTTTGTTCCATGGACATGTGTATCAATTCCTGTTTCAATTGCTAACCCGATAGAGTTTGTTTTAATAGATAGTATGACAAGGGGCACCTGGTGGCTCAGTCATTAGGCATCTGCCTTCGGCTCAGGTCATGATCCCAAGGTCCTGGGATCGAGGCCCACACCGGGCTCCCTGCTCGGCGGGGAGCCTGCTTCTCCCTCTCCCACTCCCCCTGCTTGTGTTCCCTCTCCCGCTGTGTCCCTCTCTGTCAAATACATAAATAAAATCTTAAAAAAAAATAGATAGTATAACAAGCTCTCCCCTGGGAAAGTCCCTCATATTTTCTCTTCAAGGTAATTGTATCTAGTTCCAAATCTGCACTCAAAACCCTGTTGTGATTTCTGATTGGGATTGCACTGAAATCACAGATTTAGAGGAGAATTGATACCATTTCAAAAATTAGTCTTCCTTCCCCCCCCCCGGAAAAAATAATTTAAAATATTATTTTAGTGTCCAAACAGGAAGTGCATAAAAAGGTTCATGTATATTTTCCCTAGGTTTCTTTAAAAGTTAATTATATTTGTAGGTGTTTCACCATGCTTGTGACTAATGAGACTCGGACATTTATTTCCGTTCTATTTCCTAGAGGAAGTGTATGGAAAATTTATTGTGTGTGTGTGTTTAACTTTTATCAACTGACCTTTCCTGATCTACTTCCTGGGTGATGGCTTTGGTTTTTCTAGGAAGGAAATCCCTTTCGAGAAAGGCAGTTTTGCTACTTTCTTTTGGTGACATGATACTGGACACTAATAATAGGTCTTATCCCTTTCTGAGGTCTTTTAGACCCTGAACGCGGTATCTGAATGTCTCGACGTGGCTCTACAGGGGATGGGAGGAAAGTGGGGGGAGTGGGCCTTCCCTGCCTCTCAAGACAAAGAGTGTGTGACCTGGCTCTCATTGACTTCAACTGTTTCAAGTGTCACATGATTGAGGATAATAGCCGTCCCTCCTCTAGCACCGCTCGCCCACTCACTGTTGTCAGCCCTGAACCAGAGGTAACCCTGGTGATCACGTCCAGTGTTCGGATCTTGCACGTGGCCACAAGGTTCTGAGAGCCATTGTGAGTCACCACGACACCTCTGGGGCTTAGCCAATCAGGCCTTAGGGCTCAGGGAAGAAGAAAACAGGAAAGAATTTTTCCTCTCGCTCCTTGATCTCTCTCCCGGACCGTTCTCTACAGAAACCTGAGTGGTCTCTGAGGTAAGCCATCGTCTGTAATATGGTTTGGGACCGTTACCACACTAACCCACCTGATGAACCCCAGCCCTACTGGGTAGAAGGGGGAGGTTACAGGACTATCATTTGCTCAAACTGGCACAGAGACGGTCTGTAGAGAAGTGGGGAGGAGCAGGGCCTCTAGATCTGGCCTTTTTACTTCTAGTCCCAGCTCTGTGTAGCCCGAGCCAGTGCCTTCGTTTCTCCACTGAGTCAATAACTGAGAACACAGTAAGTATCTGCCCCCAGCCCTGGCACTGGGTCAGATTAAAAAAATACTGCCCAAAGGGTTGGGAGGCAGGGCAGTCTGGGGGTCCTGGTGAGGTATCAGGGGTGTGGGGCTCATGGTCAGCTATCGGGGTGAGTGCAATCTTCGAACACGATTGGTCATGTCGCTCACAGACAGCCTCTCCAGGCCTTAAACTGATCTGTCAGCACCTAGTTCCCAGCCTTAGATCTTTTCCTTCTTGAAATGCCTTTCTCTTTAACCTTTCTTGACTGATGGGGGGAACGAGGCAAAAAAAAAGCCATCTCTTAGGACTACGCTGGAAACAAGTGTGTGTGGCCGGGAGGTGGCCGGGGGAAGAGGCAGGAGGGGCCCTGGAATTCACTTGAGTTTCATCATCTTTTTCAGGCTTCCTCCGTTGTGCTCCTTTTGTGAGGCCATCTGCGGCATTGGCCAGTCATGGAGAAAGCGAACTCTGAAGTCAAACCCAGCACTTGCACACCGAGCGATGAGAAGAAGACAAGCGGCAGCTCAAAACAAACCGTGCCCACCCAAAATGTGCTGTACTTTCTACTGGCGAGGCAGGTGGGGAGGCACAGGAGTGATGTGGATCTGTCCAGGTGGGTGTGGATGCTGAACTGAGCCACACAGCAGGGTGGAGCTGGCCCTTGCTAAAAAAGCATGGGTCTTACCTGCTTATGCCTACCCACAATTTTTGAAAATGCAAAACAAAAAAGAAATTGATTTAAAGTAATATACACCTCCCTTGTTTCAGCTACTACAATAAAAGCTGAGTTTTCATCCCTTTCGGTTTGATATGTTTTTCTTGCCCAAGCGGCGTTTTTAGGTTAGTTCCGCGGGACAGGGGATTCCATGCATGGTTACGTGGAATGCGGCAGCTCGCACAGCCTGGGAGGTGGTGAGATCCCACGGCAGGTCACATCTCGTCCACCTTTAACCTGAAACAAAAGCCAGGGACCGGTGATGTAGATAGAAGTGGGTCCCTCCGGGAACGGAGAGTCCTGTCCCTAGGCATTTGAGCAGACACCGGCTGTGTCCCCCTGGAAAACCTAGTTGCTAACCCTGGTGAAAGACATGAAGAACGGGCCACGAGCGGGGTGGGGAAGTTTAGGATACTGGTTTTGTTTTTTTTTATTCCGACGCTCTCGGGAATATCATTGAGACACTACCGCATTGTGTCTTGGTTTCTATTTCATATTTTTAAAAAAATCAGAGCACACGGCATTTTAGTACGGGAACGTCACACCTTCAGGGCCTCCTGAAGGTAACGACTCTTCTCACTGCCCCCCGAAGTGTGCATGGCCGGGCCCCTCGGCGGGGTGGGGTAAAGCCGGGCGGGGGGCGGCTGCGGACACTGTGCGGGACTGAAGGCCCCAGCCCGTCTCAGCAGGACTGGGGCGCCGGCTCCCGGGACAGAGCCCCCCCCTCCCCGGGAGGCTGCGGGGCGCGACAGGCCCTCGGGGAAGTGGGCACGCGAGTGAGGACGTGGGGCGTGGAGAAGCGGGCCGAGGACGAGGGGAGGCGCTGTGGGGGGGGGTTGGGGGGGACGACCAGGGGACCCGAGCGAGGGCGGAGCCGGGGGAGCAGCGCCGCGGCGGGCACGCGTGTGCCGGGCGGTGGGGCCGCGGCCTGTCCCTGCGCCCCCTGCCGGGCGGGGACGGTCCTCCGCCACCCACCCCCCCACCCGCCTGCCCGCACCTCCGGGCGCCCGCTCCTCCCCGCCCCTCCGGCCGCCGGTGAAGCGGGACCGCTGCAGCCCTCCACGTCCGGTCACCTCCTCCCCGGGCCCGTGCCCTCGCCGCGCGCGGTCTGACTCGGCCTCCGGGCTCCCCGGAGGGGCGGCTTCGCGCACCGGGTGCCGCGCCGCTCACAGCCTACGGAGGCGCGACGGGCCGCGACGCTCGGGACGAGTCCCACTGCCATCCCCTCGAGCGACGGGAAGCGCGGCGCAGAGGGCTGTGGCAATGTACCTTGGGGTGCCGGGCAGCGCGGGCGCACACGTGAGCGCAGGGTCCCCGACCCGGCGCAGCAGGGGGCTCTCGGGACGCCCCAGAGCGGCCGGCACCGCCTACCGCGCATCTCCCTGGGGGCCTGGCCCTCGGCGGAGGCCGGTCCCGGGCAGTGACACGCGCGGTGGCCACTCTGACCGTAAACCCACTGAGGGCCGTGCTCATGGGGCAGAGGCGGTGGGGCGCGGTGGGGTGGGCGCCTTGGAGGTTAGAGAGGCCTCCACACAGTGCCTCCACCATGTGCCGATCGATCGTACTGGACGAACGTCCCCCCACCACAAAGTTACTGGCTTCAGTGTCCATGTGGAGGGCTCCATTTGTGTCTCTGGAAATCAGAAGCACACATAAGACATTCAAAAGGGCAGTGGCTGGTAGAGACAGAAAGACAGGAGAGAGAGACAGAAAGGGGCGAAGGGAAAGGAAATTGATCCCAGAAGTCGATCCTGGGCACCCTCTGCACAGGACTGGCCATGTCCACACCCATCCTCCTTAAGAGCCTCCTGCCTTCTGGTTTGTCTACGGGCTCAGACCCTCTTCTGAAAAGAATCCTTCCTATGGGGCTTGACAGCGTCCCCTGTCCAGTGCCTGGAAAACCAGAACCAAACGTCCAAGGAAGATGCTCCATCCTTCCCAAAGGCTCCAGAAAAGGGGACACAATGCCCACCCTTCCTCTGTCTTCCTGGGGAGCAACAAGAAGTGAAAATGAAACCAGGAAGGGGTGGGCCACCTCTCTTTCCCACTTTTCAGTTGGCTGCCGCCTCCCCTTCTCTCTACCCCAAGTCTGAGACAGCTGGAAGGAAAGGGGATGAAGGGGCTCCCTGATGTGTGTAACGGGGTCTGTGCTCCGAGGGATACCGGAGACCGTTTAGCGGAAGGGTACGTGGACACATCGCCTGTGCGTTATGGATACATTTATAATTGTAAAGAATCTTTCTAAAGAAAACATACATCTGGGGGGGGCCTGGTTGGCTCAGTCGGGTAAACGTCTGACTTTTGGTTTCGCCTTGGGTCAAGATCTTGGGGGTTGTGCGATCGCGCCCCGCTTGGGCTTAGCGCTGGGCGCACAGCCTGCTTGAGATTCCCTCTCTCCCTCTGCCCCCCACACCATGCTCGAGAGTTTTGTCAAATAAATAAATGAATAATTTTTTGGAAAAAGAAAACATACATCTGTCTAGGAACAAAAGTTCTGGAGTGCCTGGGTGGCTTAGTCCGTTAAGTGTCTGCCTTCCACTCAGGTCATGATCTGGGGGCCTAGGTTGAGTCCCCCATTGGGCTTCTTGCTCAGCGGGGAGCCTGCCTCTCCCTCTGCCTGGTGCTCCCCCTGCTTGTGCTCTCTCTCTCTGATCAATCAATCAATCAATCAATCTTTTTTTAGAAAGTTCTATTAGTATCAAGTACAGTCTCTAAGACTATAACTTCTTTCTGAAAGCAAAATTGCCATAAAAAGCACTTTGTTCTTTTGGATGGACTCTTCTTTAGTGAGCTGAACACAGATCAATGTGAGGCAGTCAATCAATCAAACATAGGCAAAATATTTTTGCCTGCTCATTTTCCTAGACATAGTACAGTTACAGAAATCTTTCAAAAACCTGTCTCTCTTCCCTGAAATAATTCAATTATGATTCATGAAATCATGAAGTCACGTTTACTGTCAAAACATTTTAGAGCTGTTGAAAGCTTAGAATGTATTTTCTCTAAACCCTTCATGTTATACATACAAAGCTGAGCCATAAGTAGGGCATAATGACTTGGAGCTTTCCCCAGTCTGTTCCTCAAACATCGGGATGGAGGCCCTCAGTCCTAGAACTGTATACCTTGTTTCTCCATGGGGTTGCAACAGATATTTTTAGTCTATCCAACTTGATTCTAAGTGGCTTTTTGTAGAATAGAGATTAGAAACTCATCGTGATAGAGGTAAACAAAAAATTAAAATATTGGGAATAAAATTCCATTTACAATAATAGTAGGAATAGAATCAGCCACAAACCACATATAAAGGAAGAATGCAGGGCCGCCTGGGTGGCTCAGTTGGTTAAGCGTCTGCCTTTGGCTCGGGTCATGGGCCTGGGGTCCTGGGATCGAGCCCCCCCATCAGGCTCCCTGCTCTGTGGGGTGTCTGCTTCTCCCTCTCCCACTCCCCCTGCTTGTGTTCCCTCTCTCGTATGTCTCCCTGTCAAATAAATAAATAAAATCTTTAAAAAAAATAAAAAGAATGCAGAGCTCTGACTAGTCTTTTCAGATATTATGTAATGTGCAGATTTCATTAAAAGAAGAAGGGGGCGCCTGGGTGGCTCAGTTGGAGGAGCATGCAACTCTTCATCTCGGGGGTTGAGCCCCACGTTGAGTGTAGAGATTACTTAAATAAATAAACTTTGAAAAAAACAAAAGAAGGAAAGATGAAGGCAAGCAGGCAGACAGGCAGGAAGGCAGTCAGGGAGCCCAGTAGGTTCTAGCTCCAACAAGAGGGAGTAAAATCAGAGATGGGAACCACTTAAGAACTACCTTTTTAAGTACCAGTGACCTTCCCTTTGTTCATATTCCACACCCCCCCTCCCCTCCCTGATCTGTTATTAAGCAATGTAAGGCTGAGTTAAGTTTGCTGTGATTCAAATCAAGTAGTAAGCAGAAGTTTAAATAAAGGAGATGGTGGGCTGATGCTATTAGAGAAAAAAAAGTAAGAAACAAAGAAATAAGAAGAACAAGATAACACAACAACGAAATACAAAAGGCAGAAAAAGTATAATTCTAGGAAAAAGAATTACTCCCAGGTAGTGTAAGAGAAAGTTAGACATATTCTTTTTTTTTAATAGCACTAAGAAATATTAAATCATGGGAAAAAACTAAATTAAAGAAGAAATGATAAGATAAAGAAGAAAATAAACAGACAACAATGAGCTAGCAAAGTCCATGTAAAAAGAGGAAGAAATAAAGCCATGACTTAAATGAAACCACATTGGAAGCATCAGGAATCAGAATGGAGAGTGCTGAGAAACAGAAGAAACAGGGCTGGTACAAGGAAATAGAAAAGAAAAAAAAAAAAACCCAAAGAAATAAAAGCCACTCAAAGAAAGCCAGAGGGCGCCTGGGTGGCTCAGATGGTTAAGCGTCTGCCTTCGGCTCAGGTCATGATCCCAGAGTCCTGGGGTCGAGTCCCGCATCGGGCTCCCTGCTCAGTGGGGAGCCTGCTTCTCCCTCTGCTTCTCTCTCTCTCTCTCTCATGAATAAATAAATAAAATCTTTAAAAAAAAAAAAAAAAAAAAAAAGAAAGCCAGAGATGTGTAAGGAAGAGAACAGTGCCTTAACCTATGGGTTCTTGTTACCCCTACAACCATTCCCAACCAGAAAAATCATTGTTTTACAAAGGGGAACTAGCATGCTGCTTTTTCTTTTTTTCTTTTTTAAAGATTTTATTTATTTATTTATAAATAAATAAATAAATATTTTGTTTATTTGCAGAGAGAGACAGGGAGAGAGGGAACACAAGCAGGGGAAGTGGGGGAGGGAGAAGCAGGCCTCCCACGGAGCAGGGAGTCCGATGCAGGACTGGATCCCAGGACCCCAGAATCATGACCTGAGCCAAAGGCAGTCGTTTAACTGACTGAGCCACCCTGGTGCCCCGCATGCTGCTTTTTCAATTCTCTTCTGCAATTTGTAGTGTCAGAAGGTTTATTAGTTTGCCACAGACTCAGTGGATTAAACAACAGAAATGTTTTATCTCTCAGTTCTGGAGATTAGAGGTCGGAGATAATGCATGGGCAGTGCTGTTCCTTCGGAGGGCTGTGAGGGAGACTCTGTTCCAGGCCTCTTGCCATAGCTTCTGGTGGTTTGCTGGCAAGATCTGGCATTTCTCAGTGTAGTATTCAGGGTTCTCCGAAGACACAGAGCCAATAGGACGGACGGACAGATGGATGGATGGATGGATGGATGGATGGATGAATGGATAGATGGACGGACGGATGGACAGACAGATCAATAGATGATAGGTAGACGGAGACAGATTTATGGGAAAGAATTGGCTTGTGTTATTATGGAGGCTGAGCAGTCCCAAGATCTTCAGTCAGCAAGCTGGAGACCCAGGAGAACCAATGGGGTAGGTTCTAGTCTGAAAGCCAGCAGGCTTGGCACCCAAGAAAAGCCTATGTCTCAGTCCAAGTTGGAAGCCCAGCAAAGATCAATGTCCTCGCTCAGTCAGGCAGGAGGCGTTTCTTCTTATGAATAAGAGGGTCAGTGTTTTTGTTCTCTTCAGGTCTTCAACTGAGTGAAAGAGGCCCACCCACATTAGGCGGCAATTTGTTTTACTCAATCTACCAATTCAAATGTTAATCTCATTCAAAACGCCCTCACAGACACACTCACAATAATATTTGACCAAATATCTGGGTACCCTGTGCAGGCAAGTTGATATGTAAAATTAACCCTCACGCTTATAGCTTCTGCTTCACCTTCACATGGCAGTCTCCCTGCATAATACGTGTCCAAATGTCCCCTTTTTAGGACACCAAGTCATATGGAATTAGAGGCCCACCCTAGTCTAGAATAACTTCATCTTAAATAATTGCATCTTCAACGACCCTATTTCCAAATAAACTCACATTCTGAGGTATTGGGGATTAGGATTTCACCATATGAATTTGTCAGGGGCACAATTCAACCCATAACGGAAAGCACGTCAATGATTTTTTTCAGAATGAGGTGGGAGGAAATGTGCATAACCTCGTGCTTCTGGAGGCATCATGCATATTCTATTCTAGGGGAATCGTGGCCCCCAGGCTTACATAATGGGCATTTGCCTACTTTGTAGGCAACAAAAGATCTTCTCAAGTATGTGTGGTGTCTAAACGGGGTGTCTCTCTCAGCCAGATGGGGGCCCTCAAATGTGGGCCAAAGATCAATGGGGTGGAAGCCGGTGGTGCAGGCAGTAAAAGGATTCACCTGAGGCAGAGCAAAGGAGATAGAAGTTTCTCGAATACCTGCGGGCAGGACAGCAGAGGGGAGGCTGCCTGCCAAGAGGCCCTGGGTGGGGGTCATTTTTAAAGGGGGTATGGTGACCTATGGAATTCTCCCATTTTTGCAGCCCACTGGTCACTTAGGGCCTATGGATATCTTGAGGTGGGTCACCCAGTGGTCCTGCCTGGATTCAGCCAGAGGGTCGCTGTGGGCCCTTTCTATACTCCATCCCTCAAACCTGTCTGCCTAAAAGCAGTCTCTAGGCACCCATGAACCCGTCTTGCAAAACTGTCTTTAAGGCAAAGTAGAATCAGTCATGACCTAAATCAAGGAAAATGATTTAGGACTGGATGAACAGTTACGTTAAAAGGAGAGTAG